TTTCTCGAAATGAACGCTTGCAAAATAGATCTACTAGACCTGCGCTAAAGGATGCAAATATAACTTCAAGAAGCATGACAGTGGAATATTTCATATTGTTCGTGCGTCAGCATGCAGCATCACGTACGTGTTAAACTATTGTACGTGGTGGAAACTAAGTAAGTATTAGGAGTTGGAAATTTCGAACAGATTACAACGAGTTAACCCAGGAGGAAGTTTGCGTATACGAGGGCAGCACCCACTCAGATTCGTCGAGCAACATTCCGGTAAGTGAGATTGTTGTTTCGCAATAAACGTGATTGGACGGGATAGCAAATAATTAGCTTTTCCCTATTTGTACACAATCACATAGAGTGTCTTACGATGATAATTACGGTGATACGTTAAGCATATTTGATAACTTTCGTATATAATATGTATATTCCTTCTACGCGGAATAAATTGACGAATGACTGCATATGCTCCCGGATTAAATTATTCGCAACTGTTTTAAAGTAATGGATCTAATTATGTAATATTTACTAGAGATCTAATTAGAGATTATAAAGCGCGCACTTTGCACGCGCCCGTTTACTCTCGAGCAGGGTATATTTTTAAAAAATTGTGTACATGCAAAGAAGGTACTGTATGCGCAACGTTAATTTAAAATAAAAGGTGCTTTATCACTCACTGATACGATTCGCAATAGCAGGGCTGTGGCCTACATCGTTAACTATATACGTTCAACTGTAAAAAGACAAATATGTACATGATTATTATATAATAATTATGTAAGATCGAAATTATTGTATATTAAATATTTTATACTTTTAAAAGTAGCTATGTATTAAAATAATTACAGAATACTCAAAAAAGTTTTCTTTTTGAATATAAGCTCACAAAATTTTATGCGTATAATGTTTTGTCTGTAACACTTATTCGAATCCTCGTTGGAATCATTTGAATACAAGGAACGGATACTTTATTTTGCACAAGTAGCAAATAACATAAAAATGAGAGACGCTTACCTTACGATTTTTCCGCCGTTGCCCGATGCCCCCTGGGCCTCCTCCTCTCAGATTTCGTTGATGCACTGATACAACACTCACTCGTAAAAATCATCGATCGCGCGAAATTTCGGGCACTCCCGTACGCGATGTGAAATACCGCGAAACGCACGAAATACTGTTACCAAATATCGCGTGACTTTCTGTCCTACAAATTATTCAAAAGCTAACACCTTGCATTTTCGATTCGGAAAAGTGGGATAATGGAGAAATCACTTTTAAATTGGCGACACGTAAAACGACCATCAGAATCCAAGCATAATCTCGGTAAAGCCGTAGCTATTAGTCCGCAACGAAACGATATTTTATTTAATGTAATGACGCGCGATAAGCGACTTTCTCTACTTTCCGCCCGTTCGAGCCACGAAGAACGACAGAGCGAATTACAGCGCAAACGCCAAAGGCGCACAAAGTTTTCTTTCATTTCCCGAAAATGGAACAGATTACACGAAATCGACAGATAATTGAAAGCGCGGTCTGTAAATGAGATGTAATCGCGACAAAGTACCACGGTTTACATTTATATTTTCAATGAGTAAGGACCGTTTCACCAAACGTCGCTTAACTTTAATCTTTTGTTAGTTTAATTCATGCTTGTCTCTTTCTAAAGTAACAGTCGGAAAGAGACAAGGAACGAATTCAACTAAGCTTAAAGTTAAACAACGTTGGCGAAACTGGACCTCAGTTCGTGAAATATACGTTGATAAAAGCCGTACAAATAATTTAGTACAAGTTATGGAAGCTCGATAATTAGTCGACGAACTTCTTACTAAGAAACGTGTACAAATCGATAGCGTTTTATCTCCACATTCATCGCGATCACGTTTGGAAACCGATAACGAAAACTTAATACGACGCACGGAGCGACACTTGCCGCTGCTCACCGGCTCGACGTTCGGCGAGTGAATGATCGCGCGGCGACCTTCACGTAAACAGGCACGCAGTACACCGCGTGATCAGCGTGACGCGCGAGCAGAAAAACTATTAACGTTGAGAATTCCTTGTCCGTCCACGAAATAAAAACTTCTATACCTAATATTTTCCGTTACTTTGTCCAGTGACTGTTGCTACATATCTTGCGGACTAATTAGCATTGCTTCAGATAATCTCTGTTCAATCGCGAGAAATGCTTTGGAAGCAGTTACTTCGATTTTTTTTTCCGAGAGATTTCGCTTCAATTTAGTCAACGCGTACAAATGTGTACTGTTTAATTGCAAATCTTAATTTATTATGTGCGAATTATCTAATTCTTTGCTTTATTAAGTATTTAAATTGGCTGACGTGTATTTAATATCTCATTTAAAAAGAACCGGATGTGGAATTGCGTTGTTTAGCTTTAATTTATATTTATTCGCGAATAAAAGGGGATTATTATATTTCTATAATATAAAGAACTGCGAAATTATCGACTATTTAATTGAAGTAAATGTAAAAAGAGAGCGCGCACGCGGAAGTAGCATGCTTTACTGTGAAAAAGAATCTCAAATATTACTTGTTACTGATAGACGTGTGCCAATTAATAGTGTTCTATCCCTGCACTCGTCTGCGATCGCGTTTTGGAAGTTGATAACGCGAAAGTAATACGAGGAGCGACTCTCGCCACTGCTTGCCGGCTCGACGTTCGGCGAGCGAGTGAGAGAGCGAACCTAACCTCCGGGCAAACATTGGCCCGCGTGACGTCGTACGATGACGCGCTCACCCGCGAAATTAAAAATTCTGTACCTAATATTTCAAATTACTTTGTACAGCGGCTGTTACTACATTTTGCGTATCGCTACGCGGACTTATCGGTATTGATTACCGACGGATTACCGGGATTCGCTCTTTCGTGTTCCTTTATACGCGTGGACAATAGCCTGAGGCGTTACAATCCTTACGGTTTCTTACACGAAGACGTAATCTGACGTTGCGTCTTCTTCACACGAAGAAAACCTTAATTAACGAAATTAACGATTAACTCTGTTCAATCGAGAAAATGTATCGGAACAAAAATCGTTGTTACTTAAATTCTAATCACTAAGATTAAAGATTTTACTTCAGTAGTCGACGTATACAAATGTATATTTCTAAATTGAAAATTTTCATTTATTGTGGGCAAATTATCCAATTATTTAATTTATTAGAAATAGCATTGCGCGCGTTATTTGGTTTTAATTTATATCTATTCATGTTATTCTTCACACATGAAGATTTTCTTCATGTGAAGAAGACGCAACGTCAGATTATGTCTTCACGTAAGAAACTGTAAGGATTGTAACGCCTCAGACTATTGTCCACGCGTATAAAAGAACACGAAAGAGCGAATCCCGTGTAATCTATCGGTAATACAAGCGCATAGCTCGCAAGGCAATCACGAGTTTGATTTTGGTAACGCAATCACCATAGATAGAGAACCGTTCTATACGAGACGCATAATCGCCGAAATGTTGTACGTCAATGTGCAAGTAAACGGAGTTAATTTACAAACGGATACGGCGTTTTTGGGAGACTCGTATCCCCCGCTTTTGAACAAAATCAAGTCTGTTAACTCAGCGTAGGTCGTTATTACTTTTCCATTTATATCTCAACAACTTTATTTACATGCTCGTCAATACTCGTGTAACAACAACCACGATTTGCTTGTCTTACTGACCTACCGGTCATTATTCCGCAGACAATTGCGCTTACAGCTTGGAAAATCTCCTCGCGCACGGAATATGAGCTTTCCATAAGTTCCACACCATCCTGGACTCGCTTGCGGTATGTATTTGTCTCTAACGCTTCTTATTCTTTTATATTTCAACATCTTGTATAATCTGTTAACAGTGCACGGAGTAAGAAATTCCTTCCCTAATACCTTACGAAGTATTCGGCGTTTCTCTTACGTACTGCACTGCGAGCGCAGTCCCTCGACATCCACCACCAGGCGAGATCGTTATTTGACATTTTAAGCGACATTCGTTTCTTATAATAACTGTTTTTTATAACTCAATCCCCTTAATTTATATTAGTTACATTCCCACAATTTTGTAATTCAGACGTAACACACTGAGAAAAAAGTCTTTGAAAATTTATTTGTGGCATATAATATTTATTTCACTGAAATAAACATTATATGCCACAAATAATGTTTATGTCAGTGAAATAAACATTATATGCCATAAATAAATTGTGAAAGACTTTTTTCTCAGTGCACCAACTGAAACGACAGCGTCGATGACGGCTAACTGAAACTAAATGTATTTAAACTGTACACAGAATATAATTTTTCTTCTTGCTTTAATCGAATTTTGTCGAACGCGTATTAGCGCACATTTTGCACTTTGTTTTGTGGATTCTAAAATTATGATTAATTCCGCTCGCTTAAAATCACATTGCGAGCTCATCGGGAACATTATGTGAATCTTAATTCGATTTATACGTTATTTAAACATTATGTTAATACACAATTATATGTTTAAACAATTAATATCACCGTATTGATCTTACGCGGACTATTTATTTGAACATTACAGAGCGTTTCGAGTTTATGGGAATAATTCCGGCGAGTATTAGTTTTGCGCAAATGCAGTTTTAAAAATCACATTTTATTTTTCGCTATCAATAAATTGCTCTATGAATGTATTTTTATTTCATATTGAGATATATATCGTGCGTATATAAAAACAATAGGAAAAGTTGAATTATTTTCTGCTGCACTATGAAATTGTATGGCGTAGAAAAACAGAGAAAAAAAAAGATTGATTGTGCTGAAAATATCGATGTAACGTTAAAAGCTTTAAAATGCGAACCTAATTTAGAAGAGCTCTTTGATCTGTACAGCAATTGTTTCAATTTGAAAGATCCTTATGAAGCATGTAACACCGTTAGTTTGAAGCTCCGTTTCAACTCTCTCAAGTTTACTTGCAATTGTATTGTTTCAGCTCTGCAAAATGATTTATTTGTGGCTACAAATAATTTATTTGTTTCTCTACGTAAGATAATGGAGAAGATAACGCAATAATTTTCGAATTCGCAGTGCGTGGTGAATTCTTTCTAAAAATATCGATTTATATCGCACCTTGATATCGCCGGTTGTCTTATCGGGATTCATCGTTAAGGAAGGCCCATTCTCGAGCAATGTCAGTAACCATGAAGTCGTCCACGACCGCAGTCATGCTGATTATACTCTGTTTGGCGTTGACGGCTGTCGCCTCAGACTTGGATATCCATCAAGTTTCGCCCAGATTCCCTAAAATAATCGGAGGTACGCCTACAACCATCGACAGGCATCCGTATCAGGTCAGCTTGAAATACCTTTTCATTGTCGTACGATCGTACGCCCGAGTAGCTGCGTGAAATTATCACAATCTACTATCGGTGCCCATGCAGATTATTATACAAAAAAAAATATTTTTTCGACAGGTCTCTATTCATTATAAAGGAGAATTCATATGCGGGGGCTCCATAATTAGCAACGAATGGATTTTGACAGGGGCACATTGCGTCTACGGGTACGCGTGAATTTCATTGTTCTTGATCGGTCTGTTATCTCCTAGCTGAGATTAGGCGGAGCGCCTTGCGCAATTCTCATAGAAATCGTCAGATTAATTGTGAGTATTATTGCTGTTTCAGCACGAAGCTGCAGTTCCTCAGGCTGCGCGTTGGCAGCACTTATTACAACCAAAACGGCGTTCTGATCCCGCAGATTGCCTCGGTCATTATTCACAACAAGTTCGACAAGAATACCCTCGACTACGACGTGGCTTTAATTAGAGTACGTAGCTAGTAGCGACTTATTCCGTACGTTTGTTCTAATGATAGATGCTTAAAAAAAGTTCTTTCTTAGTTGCCTAAACCTTTATCGTTGGGAGCAAGGATAAAAATTATCATTCTTGCGCTGTCAGGATCAAACGTTAAAGCTGGTAGCAAGGCAACTGTTGTAGGATGGGGCAGGACATCGGTGAGTCTGTCTAGCCGTTTTGATTCTCGTGCATGCGTTCGTGTCAGTGTCAAGATTTGTCGCCGCTAAGATGCTTAGTTGACGAGAGCGATGTTCGACGAGGTTGCGCAACGGCGTGCAAACGTTAAGATTCGTTTGCCGAGCGCTTGACGTAGCTCCGGTTGATCGTCGCGACAAATGTTGACGGGATCTCCGGATAGGCGGACGTTTGTAAACGTTCGGTAGTCAACATATATAATGTGTGCTGCGAATTTCAGCCGAACGGCCCGCCTTCGAAACAACTACAGAGCTTGGTAGTACCGGTCGTTGACCAGGCGACGTGCCAGAAGATCTTCGCTCCGAAACCGGTGACCGCCAACATGATCTGCGCCGGTGATCTTACCCGTGATAGGGACACTTGCGAGGTACGTTTGCAATCAATGGCCCGCTCAATGGTCTCTTCCATAGACATAATATATCTAGACCATTGGGCAGTGGGGGGTAGAGGTTCACGTTGAAAAGGACAAACTCCGTTTCGCGCTGCTTCGTTCTCTCTCGGTCGCGTGCGAACGAGAGAGAAGAAAATAGCACAAAATAGAGACCCTGTAATCAGAGACTGGTCATGAGAGTCCGTCAAATTCCTGCGAGTGAGAGAGAATCGTAGGCTATCTCACTCTTCTACGATCGTTACAATATGGCCAGTCTCTGATCACAGGGTCTCTAGCACAAAACAGAGTTTGTCCCTTTATACGTGCACCTCTACCGTCCACTGCTCAAATTAAAGGCAACCGTTCGGTCTAGATATATTACGTCTATGGTTTTTTTTTTCGCAACGACATATAGACCAAGCGATCCTATGCTTTTGCTGTGGTGCGCGTGAAGCCGGAAGTTGGAGACAGAGACAGCTGATTTGTGTCTGCTGTCTCACTCTAGCTTATTACCCAGCCTTCTCATTGGCAGTGATAGTATTTTATCTCTCGAACTTTCGGCTTTACTCTGCAGATCGGAATCTGCTCGGTCTATGTATACATGTCGTTGTTTTTTTCGTTTATCGACAGCTTTATAATTGGTATTTCGTAACTCTTCGATTAGAGCATTTTTTCGCATTTTTTATCACGTGGACGTGAAACGGAATGCATTGAATTCTTTTCGCGTCTTCCCGAGAGATTTCCAGCAATCAAGATTGCTCTATTACAGATTATTTAATTATTTATATTGCTTTAAATTGTTACATTACAAAACATATACGTATATAATTTCTTTTCATACCGTTGTATGTGCACTCTTTGTTTATTCCTTAACAACGCTAGGCGCTTTAACGTCTTTAACGCAAAGAACATAACGTCCTCGGAAGGTTCGTTGCATTAGAATAATTACGTTCCGTTTCGGGTCCACGCTACTTTTCGGGAATTGATTGCTGCTGTACGAAAGTGAAAAAGGTTCATTTGTTCATGACGCAGGGAGATTCCGGCGGTGCGCTCGTGCACAACAGTGTCCAAATTGGGATCGTGTCCTGGGGCGATAAGTGTACGAGTGGATATCCAGGAGTGTATACGCGAGTATCCGCCATACGGCAGTGGATAACCGAGCAGGCGAACGTGTAGCAGAATTAATTTTTCCCCTCTCGTCTGAACGTTTTTCGAGATAGGGGAGAGAGGCAGCGTACCGTTAAAAAAATATTTGTTTCTGTTTAACCGCATCAAAACTAGACGGTATTACGAAAAAAAATACTATCCGCGAACTGCACAGCGAAGGGAGGGGCCAAAATTTTGCAGGGGAATTTTGGCAATAATAATGACGTAATTCTGAAACAAAAAAGAAACTGAGACCTACGAAATTTCCATGAATTTTCAATTGTTTCGCGTTTCCCTTTCCGCGAATAAACGTAGACATTATTTCCGTGCGTTTATTCGCATTTCGAAATTTGAACTTGTACAAGCAAATCGCTTTCAACTCCTATTTTTAAATCGGTTAATTTATTTTCAGATAGTTCGCTACGAATTTGTAGTCCGTAGACGTATATGTTTTAAGGTTCGCAATGATAATCGCAATTTTTTATTACTATAATACTTTGTTGATTTATCGTTGGCGCGTATACGGGGGAGAAAGGTTCGTTGTCAGGATATATTCTATGCTGCAGCGAATGTCGCCAGTTATCACAGGTAGAAAAATGAATTATTAAGAATATATCTTGTATATTAATTATCAAATGCTATTGCTTAAAAATAATTTACACCCGATTTCGCCGCAGTAATAAATTGTTTTGCCGCAACAGCGTGATATATCAATTAGGAGGAAACTTTATTTCGCGTTAGCGGCAAATCAAATTTACTTTACTAGCAACAAATTCGCATTTCTATGAGCAAATTTACCTTGCGAGAGTTTTCAACAAAACCAAGTTTTGTTGTAACAACAAATGATTGGTTATTGCGAGAGAATATTTGCTTACTTTCGCGAATCGAATATGCAACAGCAGCTACGAGGTCCCTTTTTGTTATCGCGCATCGATAACGGGATGTAGAACTTAGGGTGTCTCGACGGGCCACGGATTTCGAGGTAACAAACACCGAGAGAATCCAGTCCAGGTCTCGCGTTTCAAGGTGAAGGCACCGAATCGAAAACCAGGGTCGATCGGCAGCAACAACTTGGGCTACGATCTAATCGAGATTCGGACTGGACTCGTAACTATTTACAACCGCGTATAATCACCGGGGTGTCTCGGGAGGGTATTGTGTCGTCTCGGCGCGAAAACAAGTGTAATCAGTTCCAAGGCGGCGACGTGTAATTTTGCGCAATGCAATAAATATTATCTTGCTGCCCTTTACACTCGCCCCGACGTAATCGTTCGTCACGCGGGATTATTAATTTCAGCGTCGACCTCGGAACGCTGCTCCGGGTTTCGCAGCCGCCACCGCGGTGGCATTGAATAAACGGTTTTGCAGCCTCAGCACAGGTGGCTGACTCGTAAAGGGTAGCACAAACAGCCCCCGATACCCGCGTCCGCTCTACCTATCTACGTACCGGGTGTCGCCGTAAAGAGCATTGTTGTTGTACGTGACGTCGGAATGATCGTCGCTTCCCGTGCCGTGAAAAGCCCGAAACCCAGGCGCAGCGCCGTTCGCGCTGTCCGCTTCTGGCCGTTAAGAATCGCGCCAGACGTGGCATGCTAATGCGCGGCGTCATGGCCGGTATAAGCGATCGATGTTACCGCGGTTGAGCGATCAGACCTTGTTGTCTGCGGGCGATACGCGGTCCCCCGTTCTGCCCGCGTTATTTCGGGCGCGCGAATATATCCGGAGTTTCTGATAACGATGAATTATACGTGCCGCGGAACGTTGCTAATCCTGCCGGCGCGCCATATCCGAGTCCCGGCAAGTTTACCGGTTGAATAAACTCGCGCGCATCACGACGGCTTCCTCGGTCGTGGCGAAGTGCGCGTTTACCCTGCTTCCCTGCACTCTCTCGCTCGAAAAGACCCGGCTTTCCTGAAAAGAATACTCGTTCTTGGGCCCGAGCGTTTCCTCGTAATGATTACGTTTAATTACTTGCCTCGCGAAGCCGTTTAATTATTTCCCCGACCGGCTCGTTCCGGATCATCTCGTGGACGTGGAACAAAACCTGGTAAGCTCCAGTTTCAACGTTCGTCTTCGGCATTTTGTTCCGGAACGATTGGTCGTAACGGACGATTGCGACAACAAGCGAGCGGTATCTAGGTCGGATTCTCGGAAGCTGGATGATCGGAAATTTCTCTCACGCTCGGAAAAATTGATAGTGGCATCAATTAATCCGGATGTCGGAATAAAGAAACGCGTGTACGAGAAAAAGTTTCAGCGATGAAATTTCCGCGATGCGCAACTTGCGCCTTTGTTTTTATTCTACAAAACGATCTATCGCACAAGTACGTAATAATACGTAAATATTTTATAACGGTCTGGTAAATAATGAACGAAAATATCAAAGAGAACAATTCGGGTGTAAAAATTAATGCTGCCTCTTCGGGCAATTAACATTAAAACTATTAAATGGAACGCCATAATGTTACATAAATAAAAGCTGTTCTTAAAAATTTTTCTACGAGATAAACCAAGAGCGAGAGACAAACATATGGGCAGCATAGTTTGTGTGAAAAATTTGTATATAAATTTGATATTAGCGTCGCGATTAGATAAATATTGTTCATAATAAACGACAAATGATTATACTGCTTCGTTTTTTTTCCAACATGTAACGTATTACAGGTTGTTACATGTAACGTTAATTGCCGCGACATAACAAAGCACGTCTGCATTTATGAACATTCACGCAGACCGTGAATTCTAACGATCCATTCAGGCATGTAAGATCGTTCTCGGCTCTTGTCCCGTGTCAAAGCTAAATTCGCGTACGCTAGTTAGTAGTTTATAATCGTATTGAAGCGTTAATTCGAATATTGGCTAGGGACCGATCAATCAAAGAACCGCGCTACTGGCGAGGAAGTGAAAAGCATTGTCCAGCACCCGTATCACGTAAGTATATCGAATAGGCGACAGTTGATGAATCCAAATCCGAACAAAGGGATTTCTAGACTGTGCCGCAATGGAAATCGCGACAATGGCAGTACAGAGAGATTCAGTTAGAACGGCGTAACTGTCGCCGATTGGACTGCGATTCGTACGGGACATCTCTATCGTGCTCCAGTAACGCGCGCATATAAATATCGCGCTGTTGCAAAAACTCATAACGAGAGTAACTTTTGCGTTATGAATTATAGGCTCGTAGCGGCACGAAATGATCGCTTGCCGCGGCATACTTTTATTTATATTGTTTATTGGTAATTGTGGGCCGGTAAACACTAGGATAAATATAAATCTGAAAATTAAACAAATTATTGGATACCATAAATTTGAACGCATTAAAAAGTTTTTTTTGTTAAAGCTGGTATTTGCAATATTGAGATAATTCGCGTAACTTGATTGTATCGCGTGGAGAATTTTGTTGTCGAATTGAGGTAATAATTCGTTAGCCGCGCGCGTTTTCACCTCACGACAATATTTTTCAATATTACGCAATACTCAATGATCCTGAAAATCGGAATCGTTTTTTGCATTTCGATAATCCGCTCGCTGAATTTTTGCGCAATTAAATGTTACGCTCGGAATCACACAAGCTTCGGTAGTCGTTAAACAATATGGTGATATTTTGTTTGTTTTAAGTTAGATTTAAGAGTAAATAATATGTCTGTCTATGGAAAACGTGAACAGATAGGGCGACTTTTCGATATTTATACCTTTTCAGATACTAAAAATATTCAGTAGCTAAATCAGAAACGAATCCTTCAAGCGTTTCAAATATTTTACGGTCAGTTCTTTTGCCACATTTTATTGCGTCAACACGTATTCTGATACATTTTGACATTATGACATTATGATAATTGAACGAATTGCCCATTTCCCGTCCAAAAAGACAACCAATTCCGTTGCCGGAGGTAATTGTTAGTAATCACACAGCTTGAGACACTTGATTGAATAGAGATTCGAGCCTGGGCCATGCACTTATGAAAGATACAAATAGCCTTCATTCAGAATGAGATAATTCGAGTTACTTAAAATCATCCCAAACATGGTCTGCGCAGAATTCGAGAGAAAGGTATAAAATAAATTTTCATTCACTGAGATACAAATAATAAATGCCGAATAATGAGGTGGGATGGAGGACAAACAAGCGTAGGGACAAGAGAAAGAAGCCTTCGTTTTTCCTCCTGTTGTCTCGTTTTTGTTAGAGAGCTCGCTTCGAGACAACGGAAAGAATGGTGGAAGAGAAAGAGAGAGAGAGAGAGGGGGTGGGGGAGGAGATGTTACATAGGAATCTGTTCATGAAAAACTTTTAATCTTTGCAGGTGAAAAGCTCGTCGTGATTTTATTCTCATATCATTGTGCCGGCAGTTTTAAATATCAAATTGTGCGATCGAAAATTGGCGAGCTATCCGATAGCAATATTTTTCTCCGCGCGGGATAACGGAAGGAACAGTAATATATCGCGATGACTTCTATCGATTTTTACACTTGCATACTGCAAGTATTATAAAGGACTCGAGACTGCAGTCGTATCCTTTCAAGAAATATTTTCCGCCGTTGATAAAAGGTCGATTAATTACTATATAAATAGAGGGAGATTGTTCTAAATCTCGTATTAATAAACGTTTACGTTTATTTTTAGGATGGACTTAGCAATCCATTAGTACGCAGCGATCGTCTAGGAAAAATGCCCTGGAAATACGTTATTCATTCGTCATCTTCTTCCTTCACTTCTACCTTTTACCGTTTCGAATTTCTTTTTTTTTGTGCTACCTCGGATTAGCTGACTAGCGCCAGCGACCAGACCCGTAGCATTTTCGGTCTCGCTATCTTGGATTAGCTCACAACATCGTGAGCAGCATCAGCGGCTAGACCTGTAGCGTTTTCTTCTCCAGATCTTGAAGATTACTCCCCCCATTCCAGCCCAGTAAAAATAAACAATACATTAACTAACAAGTAAATAAGAAAAGTAAATCAAACAGCTATGCGTGAATTAATTTTGTGTAACGTTTAATTTAACAATTTAATACAAACTTATAAATCGTAAATCGTTTCAAGCTCCACTTCGAGTCACCTTTAGCAGTGGTGTCTGATGAGGAATTTGATCATACAAATAATTGATCGTGTATTGAGAAAAATATATTTTAATAATTTATTGCGTCATTTTAGTTTCGTTTCTAATTAATCATTATTTACTTGCTTAATATTAATTAATGTAATTTTGATCAAATTTTCATATAAAATAGTATGTAGGCGTCAATATTAACATTTTGAGTTTTGTATTAATAGTAAATGATTGTAAATCGATCAGATATAACCGAGGGGGAAACTGCTGAGGGCATTGTGGTGTACAGATTTGCGGCATTGCTGGGCATTTTTTGGGCATTAATTTGGACATTAGGCCTTGCTGGCGCATTATAAAGATAAAATAAGATAATAAGATAAAGTAATGCCCACTGGGCATTAGGGGGCATTGGTGTAAAAGATTTTGGTCAGCGGTTTTTTCCCTCGGATATAATTTAATATTTAGAATACACTACACGTGTCATAAATAAATTGGGATATTTGTATTCCTTCCTGCGAGAATAAAAATAGGACTCGTCTACGGGAATAAAAATAGGCGATCGTGTATATTCATATGTCATTGTGTGAACCAGAAACGGAATCAGAGACGGAACCAGAGACTATTACCGGGTAATAAATTCCATATCGATTTTTTATCCTAATAAATATCGCACGGAGGTAGATTAAAAATATGTGTCGTTAATTCTTTAATGGCCGTTAAAAGGATTTTAAACGGTCGCTGCTTAATTCCGCACAATCGAGCTCTCAGCGGGACGGAAACGAACTGCTGGCATGAATTTATATAAACTTTTAATCCCTTCCATTAATTGGCACTCGATAAAATATCGGTGGTAAATTAACGGCTAGCTGCGACGGCGTATCGTACGTCGGAAGTTTCGGTTTTGAAACATGATAATTAAGCTTAAACATGGCACTTGAAATCGGAAGTACGGGATGTTCGCCACTAGCGCTTAAATTAAATGGCATGCTCGAGATACTGTATTCATGGACTTTATCAACGAGCGAGTACGTACGCGGCAGGTCGAAATAATTGATTGCTAGCCCGTTGCTATATTAAACCTTTATGAATATGCATCAAGTATTGACGAAACCACGTAATGTTTGAGTTCCAGTAGTCGTCTATTTGCACTCGAACGGCTACTTTCTCGTCCTCCGGGAGAGACGCGGACGTATCCGCTGCTTACAATATCACGAACGTATAAAACGTGAAATGTTTTAATTCAATTCGCAACTGCTGTGGTAGGATAAAATCGGCCCGGAGATATTTCGTTATCAGAGATTAAGCGTCGGAGATCTGGCAGGTTTTAAAGTTAGTATCTGGCAATTTGCAGAATTCGGTTTACTTAAGAAAAGCATGATGCGTTACAAGTTAAATATAATTAATTAAAATTGACGTGCATATTCCCTCTCTCTCCCTCTCTCTCTGCCTCATTTGTAAGAGATACCGGTGTTTGTAAAGATCCAAGGTAAGTAGCTGCTGATACGAGTATAGACTCCTGGATGTGCCATGGTTTCGCAACCTAATCCGTAGGATAGAATGCCAATCAGCATCCGCGACGATACTAGAGGCGCGCCTAGATCACCCTGTAGACAGTAATATCACGAAAATCATCATCATGGTTGTAATCGCTGGTAGCCTCACCCGCGCTAATTACCAGCAGCCGGAGGGCTCGATAACGGATTGAAGCACGGGCTCGGCGCGCGAAACATATCTCGATACATCTTTTAAAAGGTTCGATTCACTTTTAAAAGCAGTGCTCGACCTCTCAATCATCTCTCGAGAGCTCGTCGTTTCATAATTTTCGAGTTATAACGAGCCTCGAGGGTGAGTTGCCCGCAAATCTTTAGAAAATCTTCACCGAATCCGCGCCCATCGTTGCGTAAATTTATATTTCAAATATAATACGCGGCTCGTTTAAGAGAAATATTGTATCCGTGTACGAGGTGCTCTCTTGCCTCGCGGTCTTCGAACATGGGTCGCGCGGATATAGTCACGTCGCGAAATAACGGGAATTTTTCTAGCGCGCGCGAGCGCGGGCGCGAGTCTCTTCGCATTTCGCTCGCAGTGCTTCGACGTCGCGTGGAAATTGCGTTCTCGAGTCAAGTGCCGCATTGTTCACCGATCTGATGCATCCGACACCTGAACCAGCCGCGCGTGTACTTGCGGAAAGACTATTGGCTCCATCGATGTAATTGTACACTCGTGGCCGCGGCGCAATTGGAATTCGACTATCATCGACTGCTCTTAATTTACGCACCTCGTATTTTCTACATTTCGTTGCTCTTGTCGAGATCATTACGGGACCCGCGCTTGGACTCCGCGCATATCGATATTGGTGCTTGAGGTTACTTGAAAATCTCAATCGGTTTCAGCCGTACGCACGCTAGACGACACGCTATTGATTTCACCGTACATTATCAGCTTTTTATTCTCTGTATATACCCGATTAAAAGAACATCCCGCGATAATTCTGGCAGACCTCGCGCGAACTCACTTCACCGAGTCCAGTCTGCGCTCGACGCTCGAGAACGCGCAGCGGGCTCAATGGCACGTAGATGATGCATATACACCGTGCACGCGTGCCAAGTGTCGTGACGTGCGACGACGGGGTCGAGGCGCGCCTCTTCTCGGTGTCGTCGACGCTCTCTCGAGTGTCGTCCAGGGTTTGTCGCGGGTTTCCCGCGTACACACGAGCCCTCCACGGATCACCGCACCCGTTTCTCGAGACCCCGCCGTTGTGTCGCGTCACCTTCATCTTATATGTTCATCTTACCTGACACATTTCCGACGGGTGGGTCACGTTAGCGGCGCACAACATATCCTTAGACAGCGGCTTGTAGTACGGCATCGTCGCCTTGCACGTACGTTGATTTACGATCGCCACAGCGGCCGCCGCGAGCTGAGCTCCGTTCGGGCTGGTCCCCTGGAAATTTGGCACGGCTCGCACGTTTTTACGACACGTTTCTCGTTATTGTGACCCCCCGTCGGGGCGGGCCAGGGGGTTGCGAACGCGCGCGAACGTTTTGCGACAGTGTTTCGTAACGATTTGCTTTTTTGGTACCGACGTGACTTTGAATAACGTCGCGCGCGGGTGCCAACCGGTTGGCGGGTAGTCGCGGAAAGTTTGCATATCCGAGTTTCCGTAAAAATGCCTATGCTCGTTGTAAAAATCTCGTTCCCGGGAGTTGCCAGCGGAGGGCCAACTCCTACCAACTCCAAGGGAAGCGTTTCACGGCGGAAGAACGACCGACGGAGTTACGCGTCGTTCCCCAAGTGTCGCGGCACCTGGACACTCCGTCGAAACGATGAAAAACGATTTTCTCGCGCAAACGGTTGTGAAAATTCCCAAATAAACTAAAGCTGCGCGTGTCACCCGAGGTATATTTACCCGAGCTCGTTTCCAGCCAGTCACAACGCAACCGGTCTCGTCCGGGAGTTCTTCGTTTCCCTTCTCCGGCAGCCCGATAGGAAGCAACTTTTCTCCAAACTCTTCGGGACTCTTTAGCTACGAGTTTGACAAATGTGACAACTTTGCATACGCGCGCACGCGATAAACCAATAAAACACGCGCGCGCGCGGGACGTTTGTTCGGCGAATGGAGATACGTACCTTTATCAACGCTATATCGTTGCCGTATACATACTTGTCAAAATTTTCATGCACCACAATATTGTCTACCCCTAATACATCGCCATCCATGGCAATATAAGAGGAACGTACGCGCACGGATACCGTCGATGACTCCGCGCTGCAGAATGCGATAGATTGATATACAGAGCGGTACTTTAGCGTTAAATTTTCTTAAAAGTTAAGGGGATGCTGGAGTGGTTTGATTTACCGACAGAGTCGGATACCGTTTTTGCGTTTGTAAATCTTATTATTTGCATTTATGTACAAACTAATACCAGACCAGAGTGTAGAATGCATAGTAGAACATTTTCATGTAAAAAACATTGAGGTTTGAAGTCTAATTCGTATCGCATTATGTATTGCAATATTTGTAATACATAATGCGATACGAATTAGACTTCAAACCTCAATGTTTTTTATATGAAAATGTTCTACTATGCATTCTACACTCTGGTCTGGTATTAGTTTGTACATAAATGCTACATAATTATTTTGGTTTGTATCTATAATATGACATATTGAGGTTACGTTCCTTGAGGTAAGATTTACAAACCCCCAAAAACTGTATGCGACTCTGTCGGTAAATCAAACCACTCCAGCATCCCCTTAAGTGTAAAGTGTATTTTTATTGTATACACGGCAAGACCGGCTAAGGCAAAAGTAACTGAAATTAAAATGTTGCCGTGTAAATAGCGGGGGCGCCTGCGTTGTTTTGTGTTGCAACGTTCACTAAGTTTGCTGCACAAGGTGCGTGTGCATGTTAAAAAACCGAGAAAGATTATTATTTCTAAGTTAACTTGAAATTCGTTGATAAAAGCCCTTTCAACAAAATCAAAGTAGCTTCCAGGGGGGGGGGGCACGTCCTTGTTGCATTTCGCAGTAGAACGTACCTGAAAACACAGGATGCCACGGTCATAATCCATGATTCGTGTATAAATGCGCCGCTGCAAACATGTCGTCCGGCTATCTGGATCGATACCTGTATTGGGATAACGAATTCTATCTGAAATCCGATTTATTCGAAAATAATAGCGGCTTACAGTCACCGTGCTGTACTGACTACCGATTAAAGCCACATGTGAATGGCGTATAGTTTTATTTGCCGGCGGAACGTACGGTACACTGCAAGCTATCGCGTATGGGGGGGGGGGGGGGAAAAGAAATGAGTTTCTCTCACGTGGTACGGATAATCCTCGATGACCACATATTCGTGCTTTTCGGTATTAACAGCTGTAAGCACAATTTATATGAAACAATTCGGTGTGAAAAGCGCGGAGAGATGTGTAAACGTTTGACTCACTGTACACGAGAAGTACGTAGAATGCGACGATGAATCTTTTCAACATTTCTTTCACGCTGATTACAACGAGCGACGACTCTTACGCGATTGTGTCACAGAACGGTTCGCGGAACGAAGACCTGTGTTCTTTTTTTTTGGTCGAAGATAGACTTTTAATACCGCGTTATCGGTACTCGAAATTATGACAAAGTGTTATCGTGAAATATAAAAGAATGCCGCGCGATTAATTCGATTGTCACATTAATTCAATTCCGGGATAATGTCGAACTAATTGGTACACACACACAATAACGTAACATGAGTGATATCTTATCGATCGACCAATAATAGTACAACCATGTTAAATTACAGATAGCTAATTGAACTTGTAGCGTATAGAGAAAACGGACAGAGAGAGAGAGAGAGAGAGAGAGAGAGAGAGGGGGGGGGGAGAGGGAGAGAAGGGAAAAGAGGAGAGCTACAAAAATATACATTGTAATTTTTAACAATATCTTTGTTTTTGTGTCGTCCAATTAAAACATTGTAGCGCGAGTATTTATAATAACTCACTGCTGATATCAGCGCTTTATTTCTTTTATTATATTATTTTTAAAAATATATTTACTTTTTAATATTAATGGATACACGATTTTGCATCGTTTATTATGTTTTTCTAAAATTATTTGTTGCGCTAACTCACCGAAACTCACGATCTCGTTTGCATTAATTCAGTAATAATACATAAAATGCATTACGGCACAATCTTGCGCGTCAAGATCTTACGTCTGTCTCACGTAAATGTCACTCGTCTCCTTTGGTATCTATCGATTCGTTGTACCGTTCGTAATCGGCAAAGGTTAAATATGGCTGATCCATTTTATCCACCAGAGGAGATCCGCAACATTGGTGTAAACACCGGGATGAAACGGTTCAGCGCATTGGTATCCCCAGGATACGATTCCATAAAGGACGCCATCCGCCGTAAGGGGTCCGCCCGAATCGCCATCGCACGCGTCCTGGCCGCCCTGCATGTAACCCGCGCAGATCATTCGATCGGTGATGCTGCGGAAGCGTTTGTATATGTTTTGGCACGTTTTTCTGCTTACGATCGGAAGCGACACTTTCATTAGCACTGGTGACAGTTTTCCACCCATCTAAAATTGAAAGTGAGCTCTGCAGCGCAACTTCTACAACGTGAATCGATTGAGAAATAATCCACCACATTAATAATTCTAAAGGTCTGCGTCCACGATGCTTGGACCAAGTTCTCTAGCGTCGCGGACGTAGACCTCAACGCGTCCTGTTGGTCCTATCGTAACAGGTCGTGTTAGAACATCGTCGTATTATTGCGGGGCACATAGTGTACCATGATCACCCCACTCGAATCGCTTTTCCGTAAAGTACCCGACACCTACAAACCGCAGAGCGGTGTCGATATCGATTATCAGATATCAGCGTCGCGGAATTAGCGGAGGATACGCTACGAAAGTTGCGGTTTTGCTAAGCGCCGAATCGGAAAGGGAAGTGGCCACGGGCGAAGTAATTTAACAATGGCGCCGTAATATAATACCTTTGATACACCCGCAACGTAATTTAGTATCAGTGCAAATGGGACACGGGGGGATATCGCCTCTTTTTTCGGTCGAATACTATGTGCGGTTCGATTTCCGATACGGAATAGCGCTACCACGAAATCTTCGAGTCGTGCCCGGGCGACCGGGGAGATTCGTTACTATTTAGCCCCATTTGTTTCCCCGCAACGTTCAGATAATGAGTCTATTCCCCGCGCACTCACCTCCGCCGCGCCCCATCCGGTAACGTTCACCATAACGCCACCCTCGAGCTCCCTTTTCGGCAGCTTCACTGGCTGCGCCCTATCGTTAAATGTGATTTCGCCGTCGATCTGAAATAAAATTTCCAGAGCGTGCGGGAGCTAGCGATATTGTTATTGTCAGCTGGCGCGGGTCGTTAACGAGAGAGGAAATACAGAAAGATCGAAACGAGGGGGAGGGGAGGGAGAGATACGAGTTCGACGTTACCTCGAGAAGGGCGATGTCGTAATCGATCGTCAGGAAATTGTAGGCTGGGTGTCGAACGATCTTTTTAACTGGATAATAGACGCCCCCATCATATTTGTCGTTACTTCCTGCGCGGAGTCCGTAAGCGCTCGCTGGCGAACTGCGAACGGAATGCACGCGCTGGTATGTTATATGAAAATATCGCGACGATACGCGCACACACGCTTGCACATGAGCCGCGGCTATGACAGTATCGACAGAACGTTTATGAGAGGAGGACGCTCGAGCCACACTTGCGGGGCAGATAATCGCGTAAACGTGGCTACAATTTTCTAACTTGTGTCCATTGTAACGCGCCAGTTGCGCCGGGATGCGAAACTTAAAGCGGCAAAACTTGCGCTTTAAATAATAATTACTCCGCTACAAATAGTTAGGGAGTTATATTCAGCTTATGAATAAAAGCGCAAAAATGGATGGCGGAGTTTCCCGAAAAAGGTTTTTCCTGTTTCTGAGTTTTAACTAATCGGCTATAATTAGACACTCGAATTGGAAATAGCCGGAAAAACAGATATACCGCTGAAAAATTGCATTGCTATGGAAACGCGAGAATATACTTTGCAATTTTATCTTCCCCCGTCTAAATCTGTATAATCCGCCGAGGTGTGTAAGAAGAAGATAAATACGACCTTGATAATGACGCCGCGATTACACTTGGCACTTAATGAAGGGTATTAAATTAGAGGACGTTTCAAAGATAAGGATAAACGCAATTAGCACGAACGTCTTATGAAGATCTGGGGGTTTTGGCTTGTAGCGAGATAATGCGATAATGTAGCCACAGAAGAGGAAAAGAAAAAGTATATACCCAACGCAATGAGCCGCCGTGACAACCCATTTATTACTGATAATGACGGCTCCGCAAATGTGCCGTAAACCTCGCTGGAGGCTCAATTGATAAGGATGCTGCTGTATGTCAGTTACCGTACCCCTCGCGGTCCGAGGGTCAAGAGGGGAAGCCGGCCGCACCAGGAAGGATGCTGCAATATTAAATCTGATGGTAAAATTTGTCTTGAGTCGCGCCTCGGCAAAAAAAAAGTTGACCCCAGAATACGTAAATCACGCGAAAATTCAGTCGACATTATTGCGCGCGACAGTATGGCTTCTTGAACTTTTCTCGCCGTTGGATAATAAAAAATACGGCTAAAGAAGTTCCGCTATAACTTGTACTGATTTGACTTTATCGTGCTCTATTATTCATCGCGGAGTTTTAAATGTCAAATAAGTCATGTTGTTTACGCCGCGCATGAAGCGCAATTCTTTTTAATATAAACATAAAATTTATCACGTAAGCTGGCAAATTATATGTATGTGCGCGTGGTCCGTAAAGTTTTTATTTTAAAATAAAATTAGGTTTATACGTTTCTTGCACTCACTGATACCTGCGGCAAGTAGGAAATAGGAAATGAAGCTTCGTGACATCTCACTAACATACAGGCACGTACTCTAGTAAGTCGCGTCTTCTCATTGGCTTTTATATTGCAGTCATGTTTCTCACATCTGGCGAAAACTTCTTATCTCACGTCGACGCAAAACGCATTTTATTCAAGCGTCGCGCGGTACAACATAATTGTTAAAAGAACGCCGTGCAGGAAGAAAGATAACGAAATAGTCTCTTCATAAAATCGCAATATTATTGACATAAAAAAAAACTCGTATTCACGACTATAGTGATAATTCAGACGATAAGGTATCTCTTGGTTATAGAGTAGAGTGTCCAATAACATCGTATCGTTTCACGTAGGTAGGTCGAGCGGGTTAAACCAAATAGAAAAATCCTCAACTGTTTCGTGCGAATGCACGCTGACTCGCGGATCTTTGTTAATTAATTTCTCATTGATTATTGAGAAAATCTTGAAATGGTAGACGATTTTTCTGCTCAATTTAATCTGCCCTACCAATTCCTGGGAAGTGCTATTATTAGAGACACTCTGTGTGGGTGTATCTATGCGTGTGTGTGCGCGCGCGCGCGCACACACACACGTACGTGTATATTCCTTTATTTTTTATTTTATTTCCTATTTCTCTTGACACTATTTTATTGGACTTTTCGCGTGATGTGTAAGTATAATTGTATAATATCTTTCTCATATTTATATAATTATTACCTTATTCACTTTATGGGTTTTTTTCCCTCTGATCAATCATTTTATGACGCGCGATTTCAGAAATCCGAGTGGTATGATGCGGATATTATAACAATATTTAAATGTGCACTTAGACCATTCAGTATAGAAATGTTTGCGCAGGTGCTTTGATAAAGATAAAATGTTGCTAAATAAAACCGCGCGGTATACGAAGTTTTGTTTTTTCACACTTCTTATTAAAACGAAATGTGTGTAGGCCATAAAGATAATAGATAAAAATTGTACTCTCTTTGATAATAGCCATCGCTTTTGATTAAAGTATTCCATTGCACATAAAGTTATACATATTTTTTTTTAAATAATACACATTATTATACCGTAACGAGTTTTAATTAATTATTAAATTTAATATTTGCGTTTATATATGTGTGTATTTTAGGTCTAATCTTATCGTTTATGCAAATCGAACGAGGACCGAACAAGAAAATTCTATTCGAAAAGATTGGTTCATTGTGATAATTCTCATTACTGAAATTTTGCGCATTATTGATCGACGACTAATTAATTGGAAATTCGTGATTCCAATTAAAGCTCACCCTTCTATATGTATGTATCCTTCATATCTATTTCAATTAGGCATTCGGAATTTGAATACGGACAGTGGCGGTTTTCAATATATCGGTTATGAAATTCTAATAATTCCACAGGTTCATTGGGCCAGAAATGTATCATTTTCATATCCATCTATCTTTGGTTCGGCCGAGAATTTTGATCTATCGTCTGTTAATTAATCGCTTATTTATACATATCGTTTGTCCAACGAAATAGTATAAATTTTCATATTCAAGTACGATATAAATATCGGCGTCGGTTTCGTCGATTTGGTCGTTAGATGCAAATATGTACAAAAACTGATGAAGTTTAATCTTTGAACTCTCAATTGTCGGGAGATTCCTGAGAGAATATATTTTTAAAATCTTTTTTTAAAATTAATCTCTTGCATATTCTGTAGAATAAAAGGTACGCGTGTTAATAACACACACGTTTCGTTACATTTTCTCTTTCTGTTATATTTTTTTCTTCTTCTTTTTTTAAATTATACATTTATGTGCCATTAGCCTCGAGTGTCAATCGTCCCGACGGTCTCTTCGGAAACCGATTGATAATTAAAACGTCAATTTCTTTTGCCCGATTTATCAATATTACCTCTGGATATGGCCGGTGTCTACTTATACGTGAATTATTTCGAGAATTGTTACGAGGGGGCGAAAGAGTGCCGCGGTAAGTCGTACTTGCCGACATCGGCAGCGACTGCTGTCTGGCGATTAACATATAAATCAAACCTCCGACGGCAGGCCGGCTCCTCCTTCTCGAATTCGCTCCCGGATTCCCCTGTTACCCGCACCGGATGCGTGTGCGCCGCCAGCCATCTTGTGTGTACTGTTCTCTCTTCCTCGCTTTCCCGAAGACGCACCGAAGAGACGTGCGGATGCTGAGAAGCTGAGAATTATCGAGACGATGTATTTTCCGCTCGGCCGAACAACCAGCGGCGAACATGGTGTTCGACGAGCAAGACGACAGCGTGATACTCGGCTTTCGGCTATTTTCTTTCGAAACGATTGATTACGAAACCAAGACAAATGGGAATTTTCAGCACGCAAATATGGAAATGAACTTTCACAGGTAAAAGATGCGGAATTACGTTCTATCGGTAATTCATATTCCAGATTTGCGTGCAGAATTTGCCGAGAAATCCTTGGCTATTGACCATCGTGCAATTAAATGGAAAGTTTGGCACAAGGCACCAGGCCTTGATGCAACTTACGCACGGTTCTTCGGACTGATCGACCGTCACGTTGATTTGACAATTAATTTAACGTTCTCCCACTTTCCGCGAGACGTGCAACTTGACCGGACGTGTTTTCGAGGACTCCGCTTGGCAAGAGGTCCACGGGCGTAATTTGAGAGGAAGGAAACTAACATCCCCCGGCCTCCCCAGTACATCTCGTTCCGAAGCCATGATGAGTAGCCGAGGCGGGACGAGTCCTGGGTGCCGTAAGTCTGCCACGCAGGACTAACGAGACCCATCCTGAGAGGATTTCCGGGTCTGGACATTCGTACCGTAACGGGTACTTTCTCCTGCCCTCCTATTCTTTCCGCTTTCTCCTTTCCTTTGCCTACGAACGTCGCGCGCACGTCCAAGGCGATTACTGCACACTGGGGACGCGCGTTGCGACGGCGTATGCAATTTCCACACTCTCGCTGGTCGCAATTTATCAGCGGCGAGAGTCGGCCGCAGAAAGCGCGCTGGAAGGCGGGAGATCGGGAAACGAGAATGTATCCCGCCGAGGACATGTGTCTTGTTGTTTCTTCACGCCGAAGTAGAGAGAAGAGAGATAGAGAGAGAGATATGAGAATTGGCCGAAGGTACTTTCTCGTGAGACGCAGTCGTTGCGCCTCGACGATCTTGACTGCGGTCCGATGGAGAAAATATTGCGAGATATTTGAAAGATAGCGAAGGCGCGGTCGGGGGTGGCGAAATGAGATAAACGCTCGTGAAACGAGTATCCTCGATTGTCGCGCGACGTGAATCCAGGGCGATCTCGCGACTTCGACCTCGGCGTACGAGAGACCGCGGCAATTTTTATCCCGCCACGCGGGATATTGCGGCGCGACGCGACGGGTCTCGCGACGCACCGACGCGTACGTATAATATTATATATACATATCATATCTGCGTGCGAGACCGGCGCGTACCAATTAACAATTAGCAATTTTGATAACGAGCTGTAGCATAATTCGAATTAGCTCTAATCGAATAATTCCGCGCTCCGTCGGAATGCACTTTCCGTGCCTATGTACCCTATGTACCCTCGTATCCGCCCCGTTGTCTAGCCGCTTTAAAGCCGCACCTGTACGTACGTCAGCCACATAATTGGCTTTCGCGATCGTGCCGAAGTACTTGAAGGCGCGAGGATTACCGGGAACCTGATTGCGCGAGAGCTTTGTGCGGCAATTTGGATTTTCCGTCGTTCCTCCTACCCCGTCTTTGCCGTCGCTGTGTCGCTTCTACGAAGCTCGTGCGTCTTGCTCCGCGAGTAGATATAGAGCCTGCATTCGTAAGGGCAGGGAATCGGCAGGCTAAAACGCCTTTCCCGATAGGATGCGTCGAGCTCACCGTCCCACTTTACCTCGTAATTAACAAGATGAATATGTTTAACGGGAGCCGCCTCGCGTGAACTTTGACATCACTTGGTATCAATGTCGCGGCTTAGCAAGCCACAATTATACCGCGGATCGTGTAAATATTGCGAGATATTTAAAAGGCAGCGAAGGTGTGATCGGGGGGGGGGGGCGGCGAAATGAGATAAACGCTCGCTCGACAAGTATCCTCGATTGTCGCGCGACATGAATCCTGGGGCTTGATTCTTGAATTCACTCGAGAGAGAAACGTATGCGAAAACTCTGCTCTTACAGAAAAGTTGCTAGTCGATTGGCTCTTCGCGTGGGTTTTAACCAATCGACCTTTAACTTTTCTATGAGGGTAGAATTTTCGCATACATTCCTTTTTCGAATAAATTCAAGAATCGAGCCACTGGGCGATCTCGCGACTTCGACTCGACGTGCGAGAGACCGCGGCAATGCGTAAAGGATACGGAGATGAGATAAGTATCTCACGTTTTATCTCATCGAGTTTCACAGTCGTATATTTTACAACGTTCTAGATATAAGAGGAATGGCAACAGAGATCGTGAAAAATCGAATATAATATATTTAAAAAATTTGACTCAATTTTCACAATTACATTGTTATCTAAAACACAAAAGGGGGAATCGGCATTATGCAAATGCCGTTGTATTTTATTACCTTCATGAAGAAACTTTTTCGCCGATAACGAGATAACGCGAGCCCCGTAGTGTATCATCGGGTAATTAAAATTCATGAAAATGCAACTATCGTTGCAACTATTAATCGATAAGGTGAGCCGAGTGGACGCTCGTTAGCGCGATCTGCACGGGGACGCAGTTAGGACGATTGTCTGGCGAACGGGCGACAAGGCGTGGGAAAGATGACCCCGTAGCCGCGGCCAGACTACTAGGAAAGAGCGTCGGTTTACTCAAATGAGGGTGAGATAGGTAGGACGTGGCGGCGGGACGCGCGGCGCAAAGCACGGAGTTTGTAATTATACCTGCATGCATCGTTCCTACGTGCATTATAAATGGCCGTGCATTATGAATGAACCGCCGGACGAACCCGCCGGATTATCCTCCCGAAAGAATGGTCCTGCTATCTCACGTAAATCATACCCACCGGCGTCGTTTTGCACCACCGGCGATGTTCTGCAACCGGGAGGGGCGGGGGGGATCATTTCGGCATCGGTGA